TATATATATATATATATATATCTATATATATATATAAGTTGGGAAAGCCGCAATTTTTTATTTTCTGTTCAATCTTCCTCTTCCGCCACAAGTCACAATCTCTTCCATAAATACAAAATCAGCAACAGTAAGTGGAAGAAGGTGAGAAGAATTGACCCTTCAGGCTGGCTTGATAGTTTGGGCTTGGGATTTTCGATATCAAGTTCGAAATCTCTTGCTTTCGAGGAGGAAAAAAAAGAGAGTCATTTCTTCATGGTCCTATCGAACCAGACACTAAATACATGGGGATGGCTAGGGCTTTCGAATCAAAGCATGGATGTCTGCTATTAAGAGGGAGCAGTAGATCAATTGAAGAGCTCGAAAGCAAAAGATTTGCCTTCTGGATCAAGCTTATCTAGTGTAAATTAGCTATGTGTCATTTGCAAACTACTGCATAGGAGCTAGGGTTTAGTTAGGGTTTATCTATGTGCAGCCAAAGAATAGCTGCAGCTTATTTCTTATCACTAAAAAAAAGTGAGAAGAAGTAGGTTTTATTCACTTAAATACATACTTAAGTAAAATAGGGTTCAAATTATGGCATTTAAAATTAGGAGTAGAGACGTCAAAATGGGCTTAGCCCATGGGACCGGCCCAACCTAATCCGTTGTTGGGATAGAATTTTTCAAGTCCATTTAAAATTATGGATTATAAGTCTGACCCATATAAGCCCTCGATCCTTGAGGCTTGATTGAGGCTGGGCCGGGGTTGACTCATGGGCCAAAACTATTTATTTAAGGGTAACTTATAGAAATCTCACTAGTGTATGAGCTAATTAATTAGATGTACGCTATATTGTAATATTACGAATCTTATCAAATTTTGGTACGTCAGATACATGTATCTTGGAATACATGGATTCAAAATTAGGTGTAATTTGTTCTAGTTACATTCTATCTAAGTGGATTCACATGTATCTAGGATACAAAGACAAATCCCACGCCCTCGCCTCCCTCTCATCTCGCTCGTCACTCTGTTATCTCGTTCGCGTATTTGGGATGCATCATATAGATATATGTATCTCACGTAGATAGTATCCTAGATACATGCTAATCACATTAGAGTTTTGCTAATAATATTGAAACACCACCATTGTTTATCATATTTGATTTGAAAGTCTTCTCGTTTTCTTGATATTATAGAATTTTAAGTTTGAAAAAAAAAAAAAAAAAAAGAAGAAGAAAGGCTATCCCGCCCCAGCTTGTGGCCCTTCTTGAGTTGGGTTGAGCATTTTCAGGTCCTTCCAATTAAAGGATCGCCCAGCCCTAGCCATCAAATTCCTTGATCCGCGAGGCTTGGGTCTGGTGAGGCTGGTTGACCCTTTTTGACAACTCTAATTAGGAGAAACTTTATATTTATGTAAAAAAAAATACCCTTTCTCTCTCGACATGACTCAAGCTATGGTAATTCTCTAATCTTATGATCAAATATTTTTTCATAAGATATTTAACAAAACAATAAAATAACAAGTATAGGATTAAGCTCCACTCCTTCTCATTTTCTTTCTTTCTCTCTCATTCTTTCATCAAGTATATCTTCTGAGCCATAAATATATATTAGTTATAAGGACTTGGATGTTTCATTAACAACCACTAATGTATTGTTGGAGCTTAGATGTAAAGTGATATACCCTACACATAAGATGCATACATATATGTATGGCATACAAAATACAACAACACAACTGTATACAAATTATATGCAAGTTGTATATTTTGACCAGATTGTATACAGCAATAAATTTGTGTATGAGTTGTATGTCTTGATTGTTCATACTAAATTTTTGTGTGTTGAAAATTAACTACGGCCAAAGAAAAAAGATAATTTTATTAGTGAATCTTGTTGAGAACAATTATGTTGTTTGTTTGATTCTTCTCTGCTATTTTTTTTGTGATACGAGGCTCTTTAGTATCATATTTCTCGAATTGCACGATAATTCGGACCTCTTAGAAATGTATTTCGATCATTAAAAATATCGGATAATACTTAATTATTTTGGGTTAATCCTCGAAAATAACCTTGTTGATGCTCATTTCGAAGAACTATGTGGTCGATAATATTTTTTTCAAATGTTTAATGGATGTTCTCAAAAAGTTATGCAATCTCCCTCAATTTATAAATGTTGGGTAGACAGTTCAAGTGATAATGAACTCTCTTAACGCATTTTGATTGGTTCATGCTTATTACAAATGCAACGTGATAAGACTATTTTTTATTGGCAAAACATGTCATTTTGAATACTACACACTTTTGATTGATTTTTGAATTTGAACGGCATAATTTTGTTGATCTTGAATTTGAGTGAAATATCAAGCCACTTGACATATGTCATGACTTTAGGCTTCAAAATGAAATAAATCTTGATTTTGATAAATTAAATAGATTACTTAATTTATAAAGTTCAAATAAACCATTGTACCAAATAATTTTTAATTAAGTTCAAATTTTATATGGACCAACCTCAAAAAAATTTACATGTATATATTACCTAAATTGTAAATATTTTGTTAAAAAACTTTTGCTACTTTTTAAAAATTCAAATATCCAGTTAAAGCAAGTAATTAGTGCCAATTTTTGAGGAAATTTGGCGAAAATTAGAATTGTGGTTTTAATTGAAATTCTATATTGAAGGAGGATGAGGTGGTGGTGGAGGAGGATGTTACTTTGTAAGACCCCAATATATAAATAAGTTGTATATTATTTTTATGACTAATGTATTATTGGAACTTGGATATAAAATTATATACACCTTATATATGATTTATACAGATGGCATACAAATACAACAACATAATTGTATACAAATCATGTGCAAATTGTATATTTTTTCAAAATTAACTATAGTCAAAATAAAGAAAAAAATGTAACTTTATTGATAAATTTTGTTGAGTACAAGTATGTTGTGCTTTTGATTCTTCTCCACTATATTTTTTGTAGTTTGAGGACCTTCCGAAACATATTTCTCGAATCACACGATAATTCAGATATCTTAGAGATGTCTTTCAATCATTAAAAATGTTAGACGACACTTTGAACTATATAGTCGATGATAATATTTTTCCGATGCTTGGCGTATGTCCTCAAAAAGTTATGTAATCTCTCAATTTATATTTGTGGAATAGGCAGTCTACGTGTTAATGAACTCTCTTACCACATTTTGATCGGCTAAATATTCATCACAAATGTTATTGTGATAAGACTATAATCATATCATTTGAACACGTGCCATGATCTTGTTAGTCTTGAGTTTGATTGAAATATCAAGTCAACTTGACACGTGTCATAAATTTTGGCTTCAAAATAAAATAAATCTTGATTTTGAAAAATAAAATGGATTACTTAATTCATAAAGTTCAAATAAATTATCTAACCAAATAATTTAGAATTTAATTCAAATTTCATATTCACTCAAATATCATGTAGATATATAAAAAAATAAATTAAAAATGTATTACACAAAATAACCCTTAAGAAATATTTACTAATTCCGCTATAAGAATTGAAATTATATTTATTCCATTTTTAAACCAAAATCTTGATATTAATTATAATCATATGCATACCCTTTAATCTTTAATTATTAGGAAGGAAAATCCACTTTAATTTAATTCTTCCTTCCTTCTACACCGTTGATTGACTATCACATCCAACGGTTCAAATTCACGATCCGCGTCATCCAAAACTAACCAATAAACATCTAGCCCCAAACTCCTATATAATAAATCTCTTCATCCCTTTCACTTCACTCAATTCAAACTCCAAAATCCCCCCAATTTCTGAAATTTTCCCTTCAATGGCACCAAAGGCAGAGAAGAAACCCGCAGAGAAGAAGCCAGCAGCTGAGAAAGCTCCTGTCGCTGCCGCTGAGAAATCAAAAGCCGGCAAGAAGCTACCCAAGGACGGCGGAGCTGCTGCTGCCGGAGACAAGAAGAAGAAGAGATCGAAGAAGTCGATCGAGACTTACAAGATCTACATCTTCAAGGTGCTGAAACAGGTTCATCCAGATATAGGAATTTCAAGCAAGGCTATGGGAATCATGAACAGCTTCATCAATGATATCTTCGAGAAGCTTGCTCAGGAGTCTTCTAGGCTTGCTAGGTACAACAAAAAGCCTACCATCACTTCTCGGGAGATTCAAACTGCTGTCCGATTGGTCCTTCCCGGTGAATTGGCTAAGCACGCCGTCTCTGAGGGTACTAAGGCTGTTACCAAATTCACTAGCTCATAGAGATTTGTTAGTTTTGTATCAATTTTTCTGTTGGATTTATGATTTTCGATTAGGTTTGGTAATGTAAAGAACAGAAAAATTGAATATAGAATAGATTTGAGTGATTGCAGTAAATGAAATTGTTATATCCAATTTTTTCTATTCTAATAGTTCGGTGTTGTTACTGCTTTCATTTTCGTGCTCATAACCTCTTTTATCTCTGCGAGTTAGGAATAATGTTAGTAAACAAAACTCGAAATGATTTTCATCTACAAGATATTTGCATTTCTGAAGATTTCAGTTGCACAAAAAGTAGTACTTTCAATGAATTGAAACATAAATCTAAGCTCCAGGAACAAACTTAGTGGCGTAAACCCAAGCATTGTTAGCGACAGGGTTGTCAAGGTGATCTAGCAGGTTTTCAAGAGGGCCTTTGCCGGTAACAATAGCTTGAACGAAGAATCCAAACATGGAGAACATAGCTAGTCTTCCGTTTTTGATTTCCTTTACCTTGAGCTCAGCAAATGTGGTAGGGTCATCAGCAAGACCGAGTGGGTCAAAATATTGGCCACCGGGGTATAAGTCGTTGCCTTCTCCAACTCCTGGAAGTCCATTGATTCTGAAACCTTCAACAAGTCCCATAAGCACCACTTGGAAACCTAGCACAGCTAGAATACTCTGAGCATGGACAAGGTTTGGGTTTCCCAAGTAGTCAAGTCCACCGTCACTGAAGATTTGTGCTCCTGCTTTGAACCATACTGGTTCTTTGAAGTCTACTTTCACCCATTTTTCAAGAACTTCTGGGAAAATGCAACCTAGTGCACCAAGCATTGCCCATCTCCCATGGATAACCTATATAGTTCAATGTTAATCAGCAAACAACCAAACAACATATCCAGTGAAATCCCAAATGAGTGGGGTCTGAGGAGAGTAAAGTGTATGCAGACCTTACTTTTTTTTTGGTAAGTGTGTCGAAATTTAAAGAAGTGTACAAATAGTTGTACCTCAAGAGCTCTGTTCTTGGCAAAGGCCTCGGGATCAGCAGATAAACCAGCAGTGTCCCATCCGTAATCACCAGGGAATTCTCCGTTCAAGTATGAAGGAGTTTGAGCAGAAAAGGGTCCCAAGTACTTGACACGGTCAGGTCCGTACCACAAATCATTACTCTGATAAGATGAGAGAAAAAAGAAACAAGTCACATAAAAATCTAGTAGGAAAAGAAAAAAAAAATGACAGTATGGTGCACTAAACTCTCGTGTGTGAGGTCCAAGAAGGGCTAGACCACAACTTCACAAGAGTATTGTATGCAACATTAAACCACATTTCTGCAAGAAACTGTTTCCACAGCTTACGAATATAAGATAAACTCACATAAAAACTAAAACATGTAAAAGAAAAGGAGATATAATGTATATATACCATGGTGAATCTGGCAGAGCCCATGGCAACAACATCTCTAAGAGGATTAGCATTCTTGGTTTGGCCCAAAAATGGTGTTGCTCTAACAACTGTGGTGGAGCTTGCTGTTGCTGCCATTGATGCCATTTTCTTCAACCTCTCAAAGTTGTTTTTTAAAATATATTTGTGCTTGGCAAATGTGGATGGTTCTAAAGAGGGAATTGGTTGTTATTTGTATAGAGAAAGTGAGAATCCTACGTGGGTGGCTAATATTGCACAAGTAGAAATTGTGGTTGGAGATGTTTTGTGTTGTGTTTGCTTAGCCAATCACAAGGCTTGAGAATATTTGAACTATATCTCCAAGTTATATCATCCTATCTTGATTTTTTAATCTTTTTTTTATAGTGAAAAATAATCAAATAATTGAGGCCTAAAATGGAGAACACTAATTACTATCCTACATTAAAAATTCAAAAATAACTTATTTTTCAATTTCTATGATTAAAAAAAGAGATAATGGTTAAAAAAAATATTACACTTGAAATATCATTTTTTTTGCGAGTTTTTTCTATCTGAACTATGAACAAATATTTATCAAAACACACATCAGAATTAATGAGTTAGCTACCATATGGACAAAATTTTATGGGTGAATAAAGTTGTCACACACTTTTTGGGATTGTATTCAAATACTTGGTTTAGTCAGTTTTGAGGTGTTTTTTTGATAAATAGTTAGTGATTACTTAGATAGGAAACATAAACACATGATATTTTAGATATGAAACTCACAAAAAGTTGATACTTCAATTGTTTTTTTAATCATTATCTCTTAAAAATAGTAGTCGTTCTGAAGTTTCAGATTTTACAACTCACAAGTAAACATTCAGAATACCTGTAGAGTTTGAAATTCAAAGAACCTACAAAAGAAAAGGTTAAATCTTTATCTCAAAATGTTAATTCCACAGATTTTAAGACTCAAGTAATTGAACATTAACTAATATTTCTGAAAAATAAATAATTCCATTTAAAAGACCACATTTGTTCAACTTCTATGTACAAGGCCATAAAAGTGGTTATTGGTACAAAACACACACATTTTATATAGTCAAAATAGTGATCAACTTGCACTCACATTGACTATAATATCGAATACCTGCTACTTCCCACGAGCATCTAACACTGCTCATCACAGAACACAAGAAAGTTCTAACCCATTGGTAATACATGTTACTCTTACAAGCACATATCACTATTCACAAGCAGATCTTAAAAATACAAGAAGGAATCAAAGATATGGAATTTTTACTGAAAAGAATGCAAATTAAGCAAAGCCAGATAACGTTCCGATATGAATACACACAGATTGATCACCACTCTCCAGTCAATCCTTCGACAAACCAAATACGAGGACAAAAGTAGCAAGAACAGCCTGCAATGCAACACAGAATAGTATTATTACATTACATGAGACATTAAGTTGCTATACACGAATTGGCAGAATTATATGGCTTTGTTTTTCAAATTCTGATTAAGTCGAAAAACCTTGACTTTGTAGGCAAAAACACATCATCAGTTAATACATTTGCTGCCTAAGAAAAAAGATGACTTACAGCAATGGTGGACGCGATGTATCCTGGTTTCTCTCGAGGATCAATTTGTGCACAAAGCAGGACAAATGCAGCTAGATACCAAGGGATGCCAGCAAGAAGAAAACCGATAATGAACCTTCAAAAAAATGAAACAAACAGCTAAGTATCATCGAATGTGAGACACCTTGAAATACATAAGGTCAAATTGCAGAATTCTAGTATCTTAATCAACTGATACTAGGCAAGACAAACTTTCAAACGTCAATCTTACCAATGTTCCTTAAACATCAACAAATCTAGTATAGTAACTATCAAGAAATCCAAATTCAACTAAAGTGTTCAACAGAAAGTTCTTGTATCGTCCTTCGTAGAGAAAAAGTTTGTCAAAAAAAAGCTCTCTAAGAACAAGAATGCTGCATCATTTGGTTTTGGACCTTCCCAACAACAAAAACAACTATGCATCAGTGCGAAACAAGTCAGGGTCAGCGTAACTCCAACTAATATGAAAACATAAGAAAGGAGAAACCCTGGAGGGAAAGGAATATCTTCAACATATTTGAAGCTTCAAGCCACTAAATGTTTCAATCGATCCACTTTTTCTTTCAATGGTTCTTTTCAAGCTACTAATTTCTCCCAAAACGTGCTCTCTTGGAGAAGAATATGAAAGATCCAGAGTTAAAAGGTCAAAAATACACAAACTGTCGCTTTATTTGGTCAAAAATACACATAAACTGTCGCTTTATTTCGCGAGTTTCACATCCCAACTATCAATTATTCCCTTTTTCTACTTGAACTATCACCATCTATATATGAATTAAAACACACCTCAACTATCAGTTCTCTTTTCCTAACTAATAGTTGAGGTATGTTTTAATACATAGATGATGATAGTTCAAGTAGAAAAAGGGAACAACAAATAGCTGGGTTGTGAAACTCAGTAAATAACGATAGTTCAAGTATATTTTTGATCATAAACTCAAAGATCAAGTAAATAATTTCCAGCACCCTTTCGAGGAACATTTCAAGAAGTGTTTGTTTACTTTTCATTGAATTCCTTGGACTTTGAAGGTATGTATTTGGAGATTGGATCTGTTAGCACTAGATTTGCAAGGGACATTTACCCTTTACTAACCAAGACAAGAAACAACAAATAGTGCATCTTCCTTGTGGAGAAAGGACAAGCGAATCGAGATATTAGAATATAAAAGCAGTGGGATAACAAAGACAGACCATCACTTAGCCTCTGTATATATTTGAGCAAGTCTATAGACTAGTATTACTCGTATGGTAGATAACTAGCACACAAGAAGCATATGTTACTAAAAGCACGAAGCAATATGAACATCTAATAATTCAAGTCGAATGCTGATTACTTAAGGGGAAAAGAAAAATGGAACTTACAAGAACCATCCGAGACCAATGCCACAGCAAGGAAGGTGATGATGTCTCTCGGGTCTTCCCTCAGGATCAGTAGCAATATAACCTAAAAAATCAGGAAAAGTGGCAGAAAATTGTAAGTGACAATAGTTCGGAACCTCTAATTAACAAATAATACTGATGCTCCAAATGATAGAACTCATCGATAGTCTCATCATAGCGCCTTAAAAATATAACAAAGTATGATCCTGCAAGACTAGTCCCTCTTGAACTGTAGCTAATCAATAAATCAACTAAGCTTCAATCGAAACTATATGAGGTCAGGATAGGCACAGGCATATCTAGTATAAAATCAATCGAACCCAACATTTTCGACATGGAGCATGAATATATATATAAAAAAAAATCACTAAAATCAACAAATATAAAGGATAATGAGTTCACCGGTAAAAGCCTAAAGACTGAACCATCAAATTTAAATCCTGGATCCGCCTCTGAGTTATGAATTCTTTATAATTATGCTTCTATGAAAAATCATCATTTGACTATTTGTACAACCTACCACAAGTTTCTTATGGCTTCATTTCAAGTTAGTTCAACTATATTGTCCATATCAAAGTCAAATCCGTCCTAAACCATGAAAATAACATCAAAGACAAAGCCAAGATTTTTAATTTACGAGTTCTGAATCACAATCGTTTTTGCTTCATGAGTTCTAAATAGATTATAAGTTTGAGCCAAAACTATTGAGTTCTCCGATCTCTTATTTATAAGGGTGGCTCCACCCAAATCAAAAAACAATTTTT